AAGTAAGGCTTGCTGTACATGCGAATTCGCATCAGAAAATTAAAAAATCTCTAAAAGCATCTGCAATCGTAAGTGGGTAATTATGAGTGGGCATATGTAGTGCGCAGAAAGACGGGGAAGTGGTCCGTAATGTAAGTTTCAAGAACTCCTACTTCTGGCGGATACAAAAGATTTAACAATGCATGATCGATCAGAGTGCTGGAACCACCGGAAACAGAGCGAATAGGGAGGCTAATAAGGCATTCGTAACCAAAATTTTAGAACCCGGCTGAACAACTTACAGAGTTCACAGATGAATCCAATAAGCTTAAGTTTATATCGCCCATAATGATAACATTTTTATTCTATGTAGATAGCTTTGTCATCAATGTTTCGAAAGAAACACAAAAAGCAGATCTTTAGAATGAAGGTGATTGGCAAACGCAACCGAAAATAAAATTTTTCGTTATCTATGTTCAGAAAATTATGATCGAATTCTAGCCAAACTGGTTCACAATTTTGAATACTAATCTTGGGGTCGTGTCTACTCAATGGAGGCGAAAATGCTGTAGGCCCGTGTGCTCGGATTTGGGTGCACGTTGAGGAACCCCAGGTGGTCGAAATTTCCGGAGTCCTCCACTACGGCGTCTCTCATAATCTCATGGTGGTTTTGGGACTTTAAACCACACGTATCAATCAATCGATCAGGTCGCGTCTAAGTTCGTAGGGTATATCAGGAGAGATGTAGATAGCAGCTCCCCCATGATTACCTAACAGACGGCGGGGAGTATTCAGATTTGTACCTAGGGAAACAGTACAAGTACTTAGCAACGTCACTAAGTCAAGTTTTTGAGACAGCAAATATGGAAAAAGTAAAAAAAAAAGTTGAAAGCAGTTCATGATAGTCATCGTTATGTTAACGGAGGCTACGTGCAATGAAATAAGTAACAGAACGATTACTATTCCAGAACATTTTGTTTAACTCGGCCGTGCTGTAATATGAAGCCACAGCCGTAATGGAAGGATTGGGATAAGGCAGGCACAAATAGAAATAGTATTAGTTAAATACCGTGACGTTCGATTTTTTGGCCATGTGGTACACTTCGGTTTTCTGATTAACTAATATCTGGGGTTTAACGTCTCAAAACCACCACATCATTATAAGAAACACCATAGTGGAGGGCTCCGGCAATTTCGACCTACTGAGATTCTTTAACGTGCACCCAAATCTGAGCACACGGGCATACAGCATTTTCGCCTTCATCGAAAATGCAGCCGGCACAGCCGGCATTCGATCTCGTGACCTGCGGGTAAGCAGCCGAGTACCTTAGCCACTAAATCACCTGGGAGGGGCCACTTTAGTTTTCTTGTTATTCTTGTAAGACCCAACTACTAACGTATATTAACGATCTGTTTATTCATACTAAATCTTTGTTTCGATATAGACTGCATTTTTTTTTCAATTTTACAAAGGCATTTGACTCTGTATCACATGAATTGCTCCTCTTAAAATAGGTAAACTGAATATCGACCCTAGCCTATTTGCTTGAATTAAGGATTTCCTCTTCAACCAAACACAAAAGTAACCGCTAACGATCATTCTTCCGCACTTTCCTCTGTTACGCACGGTGTACCACAGGGGTCTGTGCTGAGCCCAGTGTTAAATCTCATATATATATCAATGACCTCCTTAACGCTATTGTTTTTATGAAGTCAACTGTTCGCAGATGATTGTGTTATTTATCACAACAACATAACTAATTCTTCCGATTCACTAAATATCCAACCATTTATTTCCTATGTTGCGACATATGGCCTATGCAATAACTTATTAGTAAATTTAAGCTCATGAGAGGTTACCGATGCCTTCGCAACACACACTGCAATTACCACCTCACAGGAGTCTCCTTGAATTTTGTTAACTACTACAAATAGTTTGGAATTATTATCGCTAAGGACATTTCCTAGAAGATGCACGTTGACTACGTAACCTGCAATGCTAACCGTACTCTTGGCTACTTGTGGCGTAATTTCTCTAAAATGCCTTCTTTTCTAAAAGTAATCTTGTATATATCTTTAGTACCGTCGAAACTAAAGTACGCATGCAGCATCTGGAACTCCTATCAAACGGCACTAATCAACGCACGTCAACTCGTTTGAAATCGTGCCACCCGGTTTATCTTGTCCAATTACTCCCATTACTTTTCGGTATCTACAATAAAAAAAAACACTACAACTACTTGATCTGTCTACGACCTAAATATCTTCATCTTTATCTTTTTCACAAATATTATCATCAAAATAAGATTTAAAAACCATTGTTTTCCTTAACCTGAGTACATTTCATCACGCGTAGGCCATAGCTTTAGGCTTGGTGTCCCACGATGCCATACTAACCTGTACAGCCACTGTTTCATCTTCCAAACCAGCTGAGAATAGAACCTCCTTCTCGCCTCTATCGCAACAACTACTAATACCAACTTCAAAAGTGTCATTCAAGACACGGTGCTTTATAATTTTGCTCTCTTAGACAATGCATTATTGCACATTTGTATATCTATGTTACTACTCCTTTATGTAATGTGCTCGGGCTCTGAAAGTATATATAATAAATAAATAAGAGAACGTCAACAGTCTGAACGTAAATCTACCGAGTTGGCTGCAATTGTCTGCAATATGTAAGTAATGTTTATTACATGTCACATTTTTCGGTAGCAGTATTAACGGTGCCTAATCTCCTGTGACAGTATCAGAATCATATTATTATGCTCTATCACAAAACACATCGAGTTCAATAAATTGAGCTAAATGTGACACAGGTGCTTTTTCATGAAACTGACGTACCAGGACAAAAACTTTTATTTGTGGTATGTGGCACTATTTTTATATGCGAAGCATTTCTCAGCGAACTTAGGCACATTTGAGCGTGTCTATCTATCTATCTATCTATCTATCTATCTATCTATCTATCTATCTATCTATCTATCTATCTATCTATCTATCTATCTATCTATCTATCTATCTATCTATCTATCTATCTATCTATCTATTTATTTATTTATCTATCTATCTATCTATCTATCTATCTATCTATCTATCTCGCCGCTTACGTTGACTGCTTTCGTGTTCACCCCCTTAAATTGGCGTGAACCAAAATTAGCATGGGTGCGTAACATAATTTAACGAATATAACGCGCTGGTCAAGACATCAACAATGGCACAATCCCGTCGCGTTAATCCCGTCGCGGACGTCGTCAAACACTTGCCGCCAGACAGTTCACAAACCCACGGGCGGCCATGTGCCGCTGGTATGCGGGTATGTGCCGCAAGTGATTGACACTCAGTATCTACCAAGGAACGACAAAAACACACGTGGGCAATTTTAACGCGTGAGCGTTAAGAAATACCCGACATCACTAGCTTCGACCCGACGACTGCAAAGAATAAATGTCAGGGTCCCAGCTGGAATCAAACCCAAGCAGTCTGCTTCGCAATGAAGCCTTTCACCGCAGAGTTACGCCAGGTCTCAGAACTTCTTTTCATATAGACGCGAATCTTTTTTGAAACGCCAATTGCAGTTGCAGTTCTGCCTACTCAATTTTATAAACATTACATATGTACTTCTTTGATACAGCCGTCACGTCTGGTTAACGTCAATTGTGTTTAGTTGCCATGTGCTGAAGTTGATTTATGTAGCAGTGTTCAGGGCCAGCATCCTCGCGAGCATCAGCTCTTCATATCAGCTTCTGGTGTTGCTAATACGCGATGTCCCAGTTGGCATCGTTGCGCAAGTGAAAACAACTGGTTATAGAAACATCTGCAACTTTTCAACATATGTCTGTGCGTGCAACGTTTGTACATATATTTAGCGTCACTTCATGACATGTCACTCAATAAAAAAATTGCAACACGGTCACCTTCCCTCCACATGCTTCGCACAACGTCGATTCCCAGGTACGTGGTATCTTTCGTATTTTTCACCTCACAACTGTATTTTTGATAATAAACACCACTTCTGTCCTCATAAAAGACCAAATAAATGATTGACTGTTTTTTAGTCTCGAATTCACCATTTAAAAAAAATTTCGAATTGCCGCTTAAATAGTTTGATAGCCTCAAATTGCGTTAAATTATCTTATCTGAAGCAATTCGAATTTCAATGTTCAATTGTAAATACGGAAATATGTAACCAGTATTTTTGCCGATACTGTATAAGGAGAAGTGTTTGGGCATGGTGCACTTTTCGGGCCAATGTTGTTTTCTGGAAATGATGTTAAAACATTGGACTGCTCTGTAAACACCAATTTTCGATTATTCTTCGGTAACGAGGCAAACTGAAAACCACATGAAGGGCAACACATTGATAAAACAATAAGGTATCGGTTCCACTTGGATTCAATTGATAGTTGTCAAGCCGTACGTGTGTATGACATGCTTGTGAGACTTAGCGCGCAAAGCAAAGGCATAGCCTGCTTGCTGGCATCCACAACACGTCTCACAGCGCTCGTGTGATCAAAAACAACGCCTGTTCTGATGAAGGCATCCACCTTAATCAGGCAAAAGATGACTCTGATGGGGAGTCGTTCCAAAGAGATCTGCCCTGGCATGCTTTGCCTCACTTAGTTACGCAAGTTGACGCTTTTTTGTGTTCTGAAGCACAGAAAGACATCCGTATTAGTAGCAAACTTTGATAATATAACTTTGATAATTGATAACTGTCGCAATTTATGAATGAATGCCCCACATGGGAGTCTATTTCCGAGGAAATTCTTTTTTGTGCTTCAATTCTCAATGTTTAAGAATTTCCGAAGTGTTACGTCAAACGCATACTACTGTGGACATATGCAGCTGCTTTGTACACATGCATATGCACCTACTGTGGACATAAGCAGCTACGTATACTACAATAATTCCGTCTATTTAGTACCTTAGAGTCACTGGCAGTGTTTTAACAGGCTACAACGCGAACTTCTATAAAAGAAAAAAATGTGGGTGTCAAGAAAGACAGCGCCCGGACTCACGTTGAACACGGAGGAAGACCCTGTTGGACTCCGAGGCACCCTCCGCGTTTGCCGCCACGCACGAGTAGTGGCCCGAGTTCGAGCTCTGGACGCCACGCAGCGCCAGAGACTGATTGCTAACGATGAAGTTCGAGGTGTGGGTGGGCAGCTCGTGGCCCTCGAAGCGCCACGAGACTTCGATGAGGCGTGGATTGGCGTCCACCTCGCACTCGAAGTAGACGTCGGTGCCCTGCATGATGCTGGACCGGTTCACCCTGTTGCCCCAGGCCAAGCTGACCCGGGGCTTGTCTGAAGGCATGTCATGAAAGAAAAAAGAAAGAAGCAAGCATGGCCTATGGCATATTGGTGGTATGTAACACGGGGCCTCATAGGGCAATCATGAAGGACAATAAAGAAAACTCACAGAACAGTAATAAAGAAAGCGACAAAAGTGTTTCAAGAGCACTTTTTGAAAGTCTTGGAGCAAGTGCTACAAATATACTTGCGTGGCACCCGCTACGCAATATATCATCATAATTTTTGTGAAGTAGGGAAGCACTCGATATGCCATTATTTGTTACTCTGCGTAGCAGCAAAGTAACCGCTACACACCTTTGAGACCTTACGTGAGCTTTGTCGGTGTGGTGACTAATGACGATGAAGAACTGTGGCTGAGCCTTTTGTAAAAAGTTGAAAAAATTTGGCGACCTACTACTTAAGCAATACGTAATTTGCAACGCCTGCTCGTTATGTTACTCTTGTGAAACGCTTTGCCGCGCATTTTAACGTGATATCTTCCTTGACATAAAGCCTGCATAGGGTTTGTTTGCGAAGGCTTTCAAGTGCCAGTATGGCTCTACGATAGAAGACTAGTATGCCACGCGGAGGGACCAAATTCGAACCCCATTCTATCCTGAATAGTTTATAATAAATTTACGCGACAGTGGTAGCGGACGTCTGTAGCAGCGGACAACCACGACACCGAAATCAGCTGTTGTGACGTCATAACAGCTGTTGTAAAGAACCTAGAGGCGACTGTAATCCTTGATTTTGGTGTCACGTAGCCGCACCCTCCCGTCGGCATTCGTGTACCCTTATGTGTATTCTAGAGTGCCCAAGGAGACATCGGCAGGTCTACGCCTTCGAAACTCGACGCCATTGAGCCCACTACCGTTCTAGATCTCCGCATCACGGCATAGCCATAAAAGCAGCTGGTGACGTAAGCAGGCCCACACCCTTACAAGAGGAAGGGAAGGAGGGAGAGCGAGGTGCGTGACACCTGCAGAGTGCCGGAGAAAGAGCACCTTACGTGAGCCCTGTCCTGTGATATACCTGAGGCAAACGCAGTGTAAACAGGCGCACAGCTGCTGTAAGGAGATGTAGGACGGGAAGACAGCGTGCGTCCAGGAGGATGTGACGTCAAAACGTTACATGTCCACCATCCTTTAGTGTGTTTTTAAAATTGTGCCATATGCCCAGTCTATAATAAATACAAACATTCACTTAACCCACTGTGTTTCTTTTGATGTGCGCTTTCGGTGTTCGGGGGCCGTGGTGTACTCCTTGGGTGAATTTTGAGTTTGACACGCTGCACGAGCCACTTGTAAATATCACGTGGTTAAGACATGGTTTATCTAGTTATGCAACGTTCCCAACCCAATAGAGTTCCGTGATGTATTTCCTCTTTATATTAATTTATACTAATCATAAATCCAATTTGATTTCTGGTGTGCATATAATGTACATTATATTATAAGCAGCACTTGCATTAGGCAATTTAACCCTTCTTAAAAATTTCTTATTTTGCTCGTGGCTTTTGGACACCTCAAACCGGCGCTTACAGTGGGGCCTGGAAGGTCAAAAAGTGTCACTAGGTATTCGTATATTGAAAAGAAATTATTTGTTCGAAGAGGTCGAGAGCTGAGCGTGCGCACAACGCTCCTCTACTTACACAACCGTTGCTGTCTCTATGAATTGGAATGTTCCTTAGGCTTGTTTCATTATTCGCCAACTATAGTCACGTAAAAAATTGTTGCGTCTTTATTATTCAGTTATATACATGATTTTCGTAAGTGAAATGGGCGTCACTACCTTGGGCTGCGCAACGAATATTTGCCTAATTTTTGTATATCGCGCCTTGAACCGACAAGATCATGAAATGTCGTACGCACAACTGGACCATAACGTTTCATGCGTATGCACCTCTATATACACCAATGCACTCTTTGTTCAGTTAAGCCTACGAAACGGCAAGGATGTCATCTATATATGGCAGCCCTGAAACCCATCCGCGAAATAGTTTATAGAGGTTACACTGCTTTGAAACGACTACAGATGCATTATATTTTAAGCAAATAATATTTAAGAAAATACAGATAGCGTTTTTTTTTTCATGTGACAGCTTATGAATGAGTGACGAGAGATGTAGATTTTGCGGGACACGAGGCCTGTTCAGGTGTTAATTGTTGTAATTGTGCGCATTTATAAGCTCGTAAAATTTAAAACCAGAATACCAGTTACCACCGACATACTATATTAGGACACTAAATTAAGTGCTCTACAACTTTTTCTTTTGAAGATTACGCGTTTTAGAGAATATTTTACATAGATGGTTATTGATCACCGGTAACTTTTTATTGGTGCCCATCTCAAAAGATTCACTGAGTCGTTGAAGTGGACGACAAACAACAATAATATTTTTCATTTTCTTACACATTAAATCGAGACAGGTGAAATGGCTTGCACAGTCTATACTCTAACCATTCACAGAAGAAAACAGTTGCAAGTTCTCAATCTTATCACACCAAGGTTTCTTGCTTCTGCTTCGCCTTCATTAGGGAAATAGTGTCCTTTCATCAAAAAATGAAAAACAAGGGAGGTCTTTCGCAAGCACTTCATCTCCCCCTCTTTCACGCCCACACAGGACTCTGAAGGCGTAAGAAGCTGCTGAAATTGTACTCATATTCAGAGCTTCCAGTTCTCAGCTGCAAATTTTGGTGATAGAATTTGCACTGCCTAATAATTGAATACATGCGTACTCAAACCAGCAGCACACGGGAAATATACCATGCGAAGATGACTTTCTCACAGCCACTTCATAAGAACTTATTTCCTGCAAATGTGCGCACAATATGGCGCTAAGTTCCTAGCAAATGCGACAATAAATTATTCACGGGGCGGTAAAAAAACAGTATTTCGGGCTGGCGAAAAATTTCAAAAAGGGCAGAAACTCCACTTTTGCGTACTCTAAGCAAGATGAAGGCGTGGATTTGGAGTTATTTACTGCCGCTGCAGAGATCATATACTATGTGAGGCGGTGCAGGGTAATTTGCGCAAAACAAGCAACGCTTTCGAAGCCACATTTCATTTCAGACAAAAAATGAAGAAGCAAACCCCGTGCGGTAAACATCAAAACTAGCAGCCATTTCAACGCAAAGCAAAAGCCAGAAAGCTTGCTAGGTAGTTCCTTTTTCATTCAAATATGCTAGGTAGTTCCATTCAAATATGCTAGGTAGTTCCTTTTCATTCAAAAAGCCATTCAAATATGGCTTTTTTTTTCATAATACCAATGGCAGAAATAAAGTGCGCAGCGCCCCATGTGTGGCCCTAGCTTAAAAAAACGCGTCGGAGTACATTTACCCTTTTTTTTTCACTCTCCTTAATAGAGAGGTTTTAGTAAATGCAATCCACGCGTTTCACTTTCAGTTCTCAGTTTTTATTCATTCAAAATACAAGGTTTGCCTTGAAAAGTATGCAGATGAGGGTCCTAAAGTCAGGTGACTGTAGTGTGACCCTCAGTTAACAATATCAGTGAAAGGTTTAATTATAACAGCATGTCATATAACACAACGTAAGTGGAAGTGAACAGTGGAAGTACCAGAAAACTACAACAAATAAGTACAATAACAAAAAACACACTCAAAGCCGTACAAGTACATACTAATCAGTTTTGCAAGTGGAATAAGCAGGACATCGAAGAAAACCCAGCTTAAAATAACATGGCGTGGGTTCTCTTGAAACTTTACATGCACTATAAAACTGACAGCTGGCTTTCTTCTGAACTGCCTCTAACAATCTACACTGATTGTTTGCCTGTACTCCTTTTGTTTTTTTTAACGTCGCATGAAATTTAGGATCTAGAGTGAAACATCTCTCTAGAAAGTTCATTACAAAAGTGCCCACACTTATTTATGATAACAATTACTATTAGTCTGTTTCACAGTTTGCCCAGCATGGGTGTCATGTGTTTTCATACAAGAGAAAAAAAAAGGAACGCTTTGTTTATTTTTCACACCACGTTCTATGTTGCAATCACATAAAAGTGTTGAAATATAGACATTTATTGTGATAGCATGTATATGAACACTCCGCTGGATTTCGCCACCGGCGTTGACGTGGGTGTTGCCATCACTCACTGAAATTCTACACGTATCTATATATACGTAAGAAAGAAGAATAATTAAAAAAAGACTCCGAAGCGCGGAATCAAATGTGAGACTTGTGAATAATGAATGCGAGACGTTAAAAGCTGAGCCACCGAGGTGCACCTCCTTCAACGTTCAAACGGCGAGCTATTTATATCTGCCACTTACCGCTGTAGACGGCCATCTCTGGGGAACTATCGTGTTTTCACCATTACCAGCAAGAAGACACAATGAAAGCACGTCGCCACATCGTCACGGCACGACAGCGCGCGCTATCATCTCCCACGCGTACTTTGCCCCACGGAGAGGTGGAGGGGAGACGATCACTCACGCGCCCTTATCTCACGGTGGGGAGGATCGTACGTCTTGGCTGGAGTTCGGCTTTCAACGGAATGATTATGTTGTAGTTACCGGTTGCACAAAGGTCACTGCGATTGTTTGACAGTCTCTCTTAGCGAAAAAGGTGTGCTTCTCAGACACAACAAACCACTGAGACGCCCATTCGCGTTCATCTATATATACCTCTGAGTACTTTTCATGCATCATTTCTGCTTGAGAAACGAGCGGCACATTTTGATCTGCTTGCCATTCTGCGTGTAACCTTCAAATTTGTTGGTATCGCGTTTATTGCTTCATCTTTGCGGCAAAGTTGTGACTTTTTTTGTGAAGTTAGTTTAAGTTACGGCTGTGTATGGAGAACTATAAAAAGTTTGGTTCTCATACGAGCAACTAACCAAAGCAGTGCAGTTTGAAAATATTTCTGAAGGAAATAAAGATAGAGAACCTGAAAACGCGGGTGATAAAGCTTAGTACAATGTGAACAGAAACCATAAAGTTGCACGCACTTGCCAAGAAGAAGAGTGAAGCGAAGTTGTGAGTATTCAT